TGTCAAGATTATTCTCATCTTGACAGCATTGTTAACACACTGTGTTCTATTGTAGCGTATGCACGAAGACACATTTGTCGACTAGTACTATACTGCACATGTGTGTACATGCCGATTTACCCGCTTTTATATTGATAATCACCCTCTCAGGCCAATCTTCAAATTTTTTCAGATGCTAGTAAGCAGGGTAAGATTTGTTCCGTTTTTTATGAATACGTCGTGCAAATGGTTCATGTAGTAGTTGGAGCTCACAGACCCTGTCGCTCCAGCTCCTCTACCACACCACAAAAACATGGGCTTTTGGTGAAGGCTACTAACCATTTCGTGTCAGCGTAAACGTTCACGCCCTCAGTGGCACTCGTTCATTGAAGCTATTGCCTGTAATCCATTGCTCCCCTTCCAACCCCCTTGATGAAAAGTCCACAGACGACCATGTATTTACGCATCAACTAGATCAGTTACCGCCTTCGATGCGCAGCTACCTACCCCACCTCTCCAAATCGTCAGTGAATGAAACTGTGGCAGCTATATGGGCGAGATGGCCCAAGTGTTTAGAGGGCGTATTTACTGACCGGAAGGTCCGTGGTTCGAATCCGACCTCCGCCACTCGAATTCCCCTGTCTAGGCTTGGGCAACCTGGCAGTATCCTAGCCCTCGTGCTTCCTTCGGCTGGCACGGCAGCTAGGCACCGTAAGGGTTCTACAGCTGAACGCTTTTCTTTTTTTACAACCACTGTACGGCAAGTACGCGGTTCTTACAGCTGATGATGATGTTGAAATAACCTTTGAGAAAAGGAGTTATGATGTGGTTTCTTCAGTAGCTAAGTTGAGCAAGCTTGTACGTAGCTAAGATGGTTGTGCTCACAAATGATGTCAAGCTAAAAGCCGAGCGTTGGGGAAAACGCATATGCAGTAAGGAAGGGATAGTGATCTATTCAAATCATTTGGAGTTATACAAAAGCTGTGACCAGGCGGAAAGGTAAGGGCACGAATCGATTCAGTGGGCTCCGACACTTGTCCGATAGGAGTAGCGTATGTCTGTGCAACCAAAACTGAACGGTACCGGTTTAAAGGGCTCGGTTCTCATTCTGTGACCGGATAGCTGGTGGGTCCTGTGTTTGTGCAAGGGCACCACTTCCTATTAACTTAGTGACGCCACTACATCTGCCTTGTACTTCAGCCGCATAGTCAACACGAGATCAGAACGGTGAGTGTGTGTTATCAAGGTACCAAAGTATACTTACCCCATTGTCCCAATTTGGACGTTCCGACAGATTCGGGAACCTTCGTAGCAGTAAAGAAACGTTACTGGACATGACAGTTGGAATCTACACTTAACATTCTGCTGTTTCAGGATGTTACTTTTCAACCTATTAGATGTCCTTTGTCTTCCGTAATGTTTACGAAAGGCGGTGTCCCACCTTGTACATTGTTGCCGATGTCCTTCATCCATGGAGCATAATAAATAATTTAATCGCTGGTATATTCAGCCAACGTGACCTTGAAGGACAAATCAGTTTGATGTTACTGTTTGAGATATCTAAAGCATTTTATTCCAAGTAATTGCCCCAAATATTCGCTGCCTATGCCAACTGTCGGAATCTTCCAAAAGCAGCAGTGCTGCTTCTTCGAACGTTTCTGTAGTTTTCCCTCTCTCAGAAATTATATCCTTTGTTTAGTCGGCTTTCAAAACCACTGAGCTAGGGCTGTTGGCGCTCTTTTCGTGAAGTATAAGTACCTTGGTCGTTTTCGTGAACGAACACTACTCATAAGGTTGCTGAAAACTTTTTAATAGCACATGACCGGTTTCATCCTTTTCGGGGTTCATAAAATAGGTTTAATCCTTGGCTGTCTTATCATTTCTGTTGAAGTTGGATCTGACTACCTCAGTGCACGAATATAAAAGGCCCGGATCATGTTTGCCAATTTGAATCACGTGGTACATCCGAAATACATATCTTTGGGCTTCAAGCCTCGCATGCACCAGGCTACAGTAAGAGCTATGTCTTTGTGTGGACTTTGAAAGCAGCTGCTCTGAGGCGTCTTCAGGTTTTTGAACACCAGTGCCCTATTCACAATGATGGTACCGGGATGGCCTCAACCAATTCGTAGCCACCTCATTAGAAAACAGAAACTTGGTTGTACGGGGGAACATATCATGCACCGTCAACTGCGGTGGCTCATTAATATGCGAAGTAGGCCGAATCGTCGTCAACTGAGGCGAGTGTTGTTTTCCGCTCCTTCTTTACAATGGAGCAAACTTTGTATGACTTGGGCAGACGGGTTCAGAAAAGTTAATGAAGAGCTTGGGTGTTGCTGGTACTATTCTGTCTCCAGGATTTCGTTCCCTCGAGCTCTCTCTGCGCTTGGGTGGCCAATATATATCATACTGACTAAGCGTTTGGGCGTGTAAGCACCTCAGAATGTCTGCTGGGTCCCTTCCAAGGCTTGATATAATTAAGTAAATTTTTTTCGGATTAACGGCGGTTAAACATTAGTGTCAACACGGATTTTTCATTTTCTAATGGAGTTAGTAATAATACTAATAATAATGACAATAACAAGAAAAAGGAATTTCGGCTACCGCGACTGTGTATGGAGTGGGACATCTGTTTATGTGGCGACAGTAGTAGACGTCACTTTTCCTAATCACCATCTTCTATGGGGGACGAAAAAATCAAGCCAGGCTAGAATTAGAATGGCACACGAGTGTGATTTGTAGGTCTGGAACCGTTTGGTAATTCTCATTGGTATATGGAAATAATCCGCGTGAACACTAGACGATCAGAGTGTGAAGCCTCCCGCTGCCAACATCACCCTTCACATAAATCATGTATCTTAATTGTTAGTTTGGCTTTGCCCTGTGGACCAGCAGTCAAACTTGTGGACCATTTCACAACTGTCCTCTTCCACCCACCGGTTTTTCAGTCAGGTTCGCCTTGGATTACAAAGTGTTTGGACATTTGCACACGGAGCATAGTGTAGCTCACATGTGGTACTTTTTGTTCAGCGCGACCGTGCGAGTTCCAAGTTATCAGCTAAACCTTTTGGCCTGATAGCAATAGTTTTGACCACAGGATGCGCGGTTCAGTAGACTAGGTTTAAGTTGTTTAGCTGTAGCACCTTTTATGTGCTTGGCTGTCGTGGCACCCAAAGGAAAAACGATAGTTGAGATACTGTCAGGTTGCCCAAGCCTAGACAGAAGCATTCGGGACGCTGAGGTTAGGCTCTAACCACGGACCTTGGGATCAGTAAGCTCGCGCCTTAACCACCGAGCCATCTCGAGTTCTAGACAAGGTTTGGTTTCTCCATTGTACACGGCATCCTCACTTAGCGATGCAGGCTTGTTCTTGTTACGTTTTTACCGAGCTTATGCTCTCCGCGTGCTATGCATTTCACGTCAGTCTGTGGGTCAGACCACTTATCTGTCACGCCTGACTGCCTTTTTTCGGATCAGTTGTTTCTGGGTTCAACGGCGTCTGGACATTGAAGACTGAATGGTCTAAAAGAATGTACAGTATTCTGCAGTCTCCGTGTATATAATTAGTTGCAACTTCTGAGATCATCCTAAGGTGTGAGTGAACATGCAGGAGAATCTCTGGTTGACCTCTTTATCAATAACTCTACGGCTCAGTTGACTACTCTCCAGCATAGAGGCGTGGCGTTTGCCACCACCATATAAGATGAGAGTTTAATTTTACCTTCCTCAATTTATGGACCCATCCTCCCAACTCGTCGATTGCATTCTTTGTTCACTCATACGTCCTCAAACACGTTTGATCACACCTTAGGAGACGAGATGGACCAAGTGGTTAGAGCGCGAATTTACTGACCGGAAGGTCTGTGGTTCGAACCCGACCTCTGCCTCTCAACTTCCTCTGTCTAGGATTTGGCGACCTGACAGTATACCAGCCTTCGTGCTTCGTTCGGGTGTCATGGCAACTAGGCACCAAAAGGGTGCTACAGCTGGACGATTTATTTATTTTTTTCAGGAGACGATCTGGTAATGTATCACCGTACGCTCTTTAAGATCAGACGTTTCTCTTTGAGAGGCACAGAACTGCAGTCTTCCGGTGGAGGTTCCGATGGATGAGTTTTAATGGGTGGATGCGGAGGCCTTCTGAGCTCCACGAACTAGAGCCCATATAGAAATTGCCGCTTTTACGGCCTGCATTACTAAGACTGTGACATTGTTGACATAACTATCTTCTCTCGTTGCATAAAGATTCCAGAAAAATGTCGAACTGGCACTGGACAGCCGCGTTCTGACTGAACTTTTCACTTGGGAAATCAAATCTTTCTGTCTTCATTCACCTTCCGACACCATTTGAAAGTCACGCGAAAGTATCCGGAAGCATAGGTCTTCATTTGGTCAATGTATGTTCAATGAGCAGTGCGGTAGTTTCTTCACTCCATGGAGTTTAAGGTGTCAGCTCATTTTCCTCTGCATTCAGAGTGCTGTGAAACTCATGGCTACACATTAGAGCTTCTATCTTAGTAAGTACTGTTGTTGTTTTATGATGTCGAAGGACAGTCGTCGGTGGTAATTCTATTAATTTTTCTCTCGGAGTGACCTTTAGTCGCGATGCGTCACGTGGCTAGGTAAGTGAGGCGCATTCGCCAACTACGGGAGTGACCTTCGCGATGCGTCACGTGGCTAGGTAAGTGAGGCGCATTCGCCAACTACGTGGAAACTTATCTTCCTTCGTGCGTCAATATATATATATATATATATATATACGGTTTTGTATATCTGAATTTGTACGAACACATTTGTGCAACATGATATGCTGTGGCAACCTTTTTAACGGGTTTGGGGTTTCTTGGACCACAACATCCCTTTAGCGGCGTTTGTCTGATTGTAGGCAGTAAACAATGTAAGCCATGTACACTATCGGTTGAGTTCGGGATTTGACTAGGCAGCTGTCCACCCATACAGCACCGCTTTGTTCAGTTCCCTTGCTAGTCAGGAATGGCGTGTGAATCGCAACAAACAGGAGGGAAAACGTCAATGTGCAGACACAGAAATCGAGAGACGAAACCGTGTGCCGTTCACCATCCCCTGCCAGACACATCGTCCTTGTCAGTAGGGATCATGTGTTAAGGAGACGTGTGACAATTGTATCAAGAAGCTAGTTCAATTGCCTGGCAATCATCCTAGTTCTACCCACTAAAACTTCCCTCTTAGCAACCACTTTCCACAAGCTCCATTATGTCTTGACCTTAGACTGAGGGAATTTGGATAATGGTCGAGCCAGATCTGTTCATCATGATGTTAACATCTAATAGGCATAAACTAATTGAGGCCTCAGCAGACGGGCTTTAGGTGACAGACTGTTTGTTTCCGCAGGATGTTATCTGGAGGTGGCTTGCCTAGTGCACACCGACCCATCGGAACATTGACGTAGTTCAGACTGTGTTCGCCTTTGTAACCTTGCACACACACACACACACACACATACATACACATACACACACGTTTCAGCTGTACTGCGCTATTGAAAACCCAACAGTTTTAATCACATCGTCAATAGATTCCACTAAATATAGCTAGAAGCATTGATTTGAGGGATAGTGATGTGGGTTACATTGAGGGACTGCTGAAAGTACGCAAGGTTGGAAGTATAGTGTTTTACTAAGCGATGGACCCTCGTGTCGAAGCTGGAATATAGCTCTGAAGCAAGGAGCCTTACGATACTTTGCGTAGAGAACTTACTTTCTGGTTCTTTGCCAAATTTTTGTTAATGGAACTACACATGTACCAAATTGCACTAGCTCCGCAAGCAAGTTTAACTCGAGGGCGCCACTCGATTGATATTGAGAGCTTTCACCGTGATCTAAACTGAATTGTTTTCCTCTTGAGTACGACTGAGTAAACTTGGGTATTTGGGACTTCACTAGTCAGGACTTCTGGCCTCTATAGAGGGGTTGCTGATTCACAACGTTGTTCTAGGATTACCTATCTCTGGTTCTTGGTGGCTTCTGAACCTCGCCGTAGTGCAGCGGTTTGTTGCCCAGTGAGTTATATTCGGGGGTCTCATAGTCTCGTGTCAGGTCAGCCGACGAGCAGTCTCCTCCTAGTTAGCTTTTGGGACATGTGTGGGGATTTTTAGAAATGTGCACTCATTCGCTGCATTGACCTCAGGTTTTTGGGCTACGGTGTCGTCAGCTGTACCCGCTTTATACTAACTTTATACTAACACAAGTCCTTTGACACTCAATTAAAGGGGCTCTTGAATTGTACGCACAATCGGTCCTATTCCCTTTTTTATTTTCTTTTATCAACCGATTGGCTGTTTTCGAACGCAGCTTGTGAGACAAAAACGGGATGTCTTCCAGCTATATTAGTTGCAATCGTACTTCGTCGTGTCATCTCAATCAGAATATAGATTCTGTTTTCTTGTTGCAGGTGAAGGTGCGGTACCTTACCTAGTGAACCGGAGTGCCCTCTCAGTGGAAGAACAGGCCAAGTACGATAAGGGATTTCAGGACAATGCATTCAATCAATACGCTAGCGACAGAATCAGTGTTCGTCGTTACATACCCGACCTTCGTAATGGCGCGTAAGTGTTGCTTGCTGCGGTTTCACGCTCGGCGCATTCCGTATGTTTTTGCAGATTTGGTCTTGTCCGTTTTGCAACGCTTCATGTCATTGCGAAAACGCAGAACATCTAGTCGTTTGTCACGTTTGGGTCAACTCTTTGTTTTTGCGGTTAGGTTGGTAAGCCCCAGCGTCACGCAGTCCCTCTCCAAATTCCGGGGTTTCTGACGCACCATGTCCCATGTTTTTCAGCCAAACCGTTTAGTTTGGCTCGGTTTGTCTTTTTCAGCTTAAAAAACTGGTCCCACCGACGAATTTATCACTGCATATGATCGTTCTGTGAGCATATGAATGGATTTATACGTGTTCTTTCTCATCACTCGCCAAATATGAATTTAGCGAAATATACTCATTTGTGAAATAAGTGAACATTAACGGAAGAATCAAGTGAATCCCAGCTCAGTCCCGTTCGTTTGTGTTATTCTCCAACTAAATGTACTTCACATAGGCCACATTTTTGCAGCTGACATTTGTGCAACATGATATGCTGTGGCAACCTTTTCAATCGGTTTGGGGTTTCTTGGACCACAACATCCCTTTAGCGGCGTTTGTCTGATTGTAGGCAGTAAACAATGTAAGCCATGTACACTATCGGTTGAGTTCGGGATTTGACTAGGCAGCTGTCCACCCATACAGCACCGCTTTGTTCAGTTCCCTTGCTAGTCAGGAATGGCGTGTGAATCGCAACAAACAGGAGGGAAAACGTCAATGTGCAGACACAGAAATCGAGAGACGAAACCGTGTGCCGTTCACCATCCCCTGCCAGACACATCGTCCTTGTCAGTAGGGATCATGTGTTAAGGAGACGTGTGACAATTGTATCAAGAAGCTAGTTCAATTGCCTGGCAATCATCCTAGTTCTACCCACTAAAACTTCCCTCTTAGCAACCACTTTCCACAAGCTCCATTATGTCTTGACCTTAGACTGAGGGAATTTGGATAATGGTCGAGCCAGATCTGTTCATCATGATGTTAACATCTAATAGGCATAAACTAATTGAGGCCTCAGCAGACGGGCTTTAGGTGACAGACTGTTTGTTTCCGCAGGATGTTATCTGGAGGTGGCTTGCCTAGTGCACACCGACCCATCGGAACATTGACGTAGTTCAGACTGTGTTCGCCTTTGTAACCTTGCACACACACACACACATACATACACATACACACACGTTTCAGCTGTACTGCGCTATTGAAAACCCAACAGTTTTAATCACATCGTCAATAGATTCCACTAAATATAGCTAGAAGCATTGATTTGAGGGATAGTGATGTGGGTTACATTGAGGGACTGCTGAAAGTACGCAAGGTTGGAAGTATAGTGTTTTACTAAGCGATGGACCCTCGTGTCGAAGCTGGAATATAGCTCTGAAGCAAGGAGCCTTACGATTCTTTGCGTAGAGAACTTACTTTCTGGTTCTTTGCCAAATTTTTGTTAATGGAACTACACATGTACCAAATTGCACTAGCTCCGCAAGCAAGTTTAACTCGAGGGCGCCACTCGATTGATATTGAGAGCTTTCACCGTGATCTAAACTGAATTGTTTTCCTCTTGAGTACGACTGAGTAAACTTGGGTATTTGGGACTTCACTAGTCAGGACTTCTGGCCTCTATAGAGGGGTTGCTGATTCACAACGTTGTTCTAGGATTACCTATCTCTGGTTCTTGGTGGCTTCTGAACCTCGCCGTAGTGCAGCGGTTTGTTGCCCAGTGAGTTATATTCGGGGGTCTCATAGTCTCGTGTCAGGTCAGCCGACAAGCAGTCTCCTCCTAGTTAGCTTTTGGGACATGTGTGGGGATTTTTAGAAATGTGCACTCATTCGCTGCATTGACCTCAGGTTTTTGGGCTACGGTGTCGTCAGCTGTACCCGCTTTATACTAACTTTATACTAACACAAGTCCTTTGACACTCAATTAAAGGGGCTCTTGAATTGTACGCACAATCGGTCCTATTCCCTTTTTTATTTTCTTTTATCAACCGATTGGCTGTTTTCGAACGCAGCTTGTGAAACAAAGACGGGATGTCTTCCAGCTATATTAGTCGCAATCGTACTTCGTCGTGTCATCTCAATCAGAATATAGATTCTGTTTTCTTGTTGCAGGTGAAGGTGCGGTACCTTACCTAGTGAACCGGAGTGCCCTCTCAGTGGAAGAACAGGCCAAGTACGATAAGGGATTTCAGGACAATGCATTCAATCAATACGCTAGCGACAGAATCAGTGTTCGTCGTTACATACCCGACCTTCGTAATGGCGCGTAAGTGTTGCTTGCTGCGGTTTCACGCTCGGCGCATTCCGTATGTTTTTGCAGATTTGGTCTTGTCCGTTTTGCAACGCTTCATGTCATTGCGAAAACGCAGAACATCTAGTCGTTTGTCACGTTTGGGTCAACTCTTTGTTTTTGCGGTTAGGTTGGTAAGCCCCAGCGTCACGCAGTCCCTCTCCAAATTCCGGGGTTTCTGACGCACCATGTCCCATGTTTTTCAGCCAAACCGTTTAGTTTGGCTCGGTTTGTCTTTTTCAGCTTAAAAAACTGGTCCCACCGACGAATTTATCACTGCATATGATCGTTCTGTGAGCATATGAATGGATTTATACGTGTTCTTTCTCATCACTCGCCAAATATGAATTTAGCGAAATATACTCATTTGTGAAATAAGTGAACATTAACGGAAGAATCAAGTGAATCCCAGCTCAGTCCCGTTCGTTTGTGTTATTCTCCAACTAAATGTACTTCACATAGGCCACATTTTTGCAGCTGGATGACATTATTGATGCAACCAGCTACTCATCAGGTGGCTGAAAATTCTTTGACAGCTCACTACTGGTTTCGCACTTCTTGGGTGGCGTACCGTAAGTCTTCTCAAGCACAGACTCACTGCTAGCCCCGCCGACCCATCCAAGCAATACAGTGGGCGACCGGCCTGGTCAATGGACAATTGTTGGGCTACTGGACATAGGGCTTTGGAAGGTGACATAGCAACGCCAGATCAGTTCTAGCATTATTGGTAAGTTGAATCCGAATGACTCCACCTTTTTTGTGTGTTTGATAAGCACCAATCGGTTCGATTCCGATTTGCGCTGGATGTAGCTATTCCTAGAACTACATCGCGGCTTATCTGTTAGGTTTGACAGAACAGACCATTTGATGGTCTCGTTAGCATACTTCGCCGTTGGCTGTAACACCATTTTGAGGGTAGCGCATGTAAGTGTACACACAAGCATAAAAGTGTTTACATGTTGATGGAAGTCATCTCACCAACTAGTCGATATGTGCTACAAATTCTTATACCTAGATATCACCCTTGAGCAACAGTGTTAATAACACTATTGGCTCACTAGTGATTCGAAAGTGTGTTAGTTTTTAATCCACCGGTTGGAAGACTTATGACTTGCGACTTTTGCGTCCAGAGTTGTTAGCTTGAGCGAATACTGGGGAAAGAGCGAAAGCTGGAGTTGACGGGCAAAGTTACCGCTGCTTTTTGTTTAGTTTTGCGGCCTGCTTGAAAGGTAACACACGAGTTCCTCACAACCGTCAAGAGATGAATTTTCGGGTCTCTTCAAGTCACTTCTTCTGTCGACCTTACTCTCACAGATGCAAAACGCAAAGTTTCTCGTCAGATCTTCCGAAGACTGCGGTCATCATTTGTTTCCACAACGAGGCTTGGAGTGCTCTTCTCCGCTCAGTACACTCAGTACTGGACTATTCTCCGAAGGAATTGTTACAAGAAATTATTCTGGTGGATGACTTTTCCAGCAAAGGTAAGTTTTCCGTTTTCCGATGCATGCCTTGACATTTTCAAGAGTCTACTAAAAAAGTGAAAGTGAGAATGTTCTTGGTTTCTTTTTATTTCATCTATAGGCATGACTATCATGGACGTTCCAATCGATCATGTTCACGTGCTCGTTGGTCCGTACTCTGGTCACTACCAACTTAGCCTAATTTCACTGAATTTAAGACGGCTCATATCCAGCCGCCTAAGTGATCTTGCTCTCTGAAGGAAAGAAATCGATCATTGATGCACACACAGTATGTATTGTATTCAGTTTTGGTGCCTCACATTAGTGTGTCGCGCAATCAGTAGGGGTGCTTTGTTAGTCCCGGTCCTGTTTTAGCAAATGTTCGAAAGTTGACTCGCCAAGAAAGCATACTCCTTTTGTAGGCCTAAGCGGAGACAACCAGGAAAGTTCTTCAGAAAACGATTCAACCAAGAGCAGAATGCTATATCTAGCCGTAGCTAATGGGCAATGTGTGGTTCAAGGCGAAACAGTGAAGCGGGGGGAGGCGTGCAAGGGTTGGTAAACTTGGTAAACTCCGATCATGATTGGCAACAAAGTCGGTGTCTAAAGCTGTTATTGTCTGTGCGCGGTCGTCACCTAACCGGTGTGAGCTAGGTCGCTAGGAGTGTTAGTGGATTTGTGGAGAGTAGTATCGTCACCATATGTCTAGATCCTACTAGATCCTACTAAAACTAAGGTGCTCCAGCATTAATTCTGCGGATCCGAGGAACGATGCCGTCTAAATGAACTCGTTAAAAGTGTCCGTTCGTAATGATTACGTACGCGGATAATTTGGCGAGAAAGCCCCCATGTCATGCTCTATCGGAAACTTCAGGCAAGACATTTCAGTTTCACTAAATAGGTTTATTACAGATGACTAGGTCTGAAAAAAGCGTGCACCACAAAGTAGAGTGGTGGTGGCCACATCCATGTTTGTCGTCACTTAAGAGGGCATTGCACCAGAAACCACACAGGAGCCTTTTAGCATAGTTGTCCTTCAGGTCGTCTGAAAAAATAGGGCGGTCGTTCGGCCCTTGTTATTATTCAGGATTCATATCTTGAGATAGGGAGTATGTATGAAACTTTCCAAGATGACAACTGATAGGGATAGGCGAAACAGCGAGCGACGATTGAAGTAACTTCCGAAACGCAAACTCGGGGCGAAATGGTGGAATACGATCCGGACCGAGAGACTGGTGTTTCATGGGTAAAGAGACTGACGAATGTTCCCAGTGACAATGCTGGGCGGTGCCACATAAGTATGGGCTGATGGAACAAAGTTGATAAAATCTAGCTGAATTGGGGGCAGAATGCTAAGCAGAAATTTCGGCCGTTTCGTGTGACCCGGGAATTAGGAATGAGAGGGACGGTGGATGGACGGGAATTACGGACAGTGGCTTCTACAAGATTCCAAAAGGATTGACGTTATCGTGAAGAACATCAGTAATATTATCAGTGGTCGTTGGAAGGTCACTCAAAATACAAATTTCAACGGATGAGAAGAAACAAATTGACGGATGCCATTCCGGTCAAAATAAGGGTGGCTCCACAAGACTCACAAGGAGAATTTGGTGGAATGGACGTAAGCGAATGGATGCAATTAATTCGACAGTAATCGCAGGAACCGTTTGGAGCAGAGGACCCGCCAAAGTGTGAATCAAGCGCATGTCGAGGGTGTACTGCGAGTCGCTGTCGGATTTGGAAGTCAACTTATATCGCGGATCACTGGATTGGTGTACGTCGCCAGTGTAGTCCAGTTGGTGTTGTGTTCGTTTGAATCGCCGACACTGCACAGCCCAATGGCGTGGTCCGACTGCAGAATGGCTTCGTGGTTAAAACACAGTAAAGGGGAAATCTGGGGTGCATCACTGCTCTTTGGAGATCGGTATGTACGGCAAAAATGTTTGTTTATTTCTGAGGGGCTGCACTTCAGCCGCTGAAAATCTGGCGTCAAATGAGGTCGATGACAGAAAGGAATGAATGAATGTAAACATGAACTGCACCTGTAAAATGACATTAGTGTTGGAATCGGTATCATGCTCTATCGGAAACTTCAGGCAAGACATTTCAGTTTCACTAAATAGGTTTATTACAGATGACTAGGTCTGAAAAAAGCGTGCACCACAAAGTAGAGTGGTGGTGGCCACATCCATGTTTGTCGTCACTTAAGAGGGCACTGCACCAGAAACCACACAGGAGCCTTTTAGCATAGTTGTCCTTCAGGTCGTCTGAAAAAATAGGGCGGTTGTTCGGCCCTTGTTATTATTCAGGATTCATATCTTGAGATGGGGAGTATGGGTGAAACTTTCCAAGATGACAACTGATAGGGATAGGCGAAACAGCGAGCGACGATTGAAGTAACTTCCGAAACGCAAACTCGGGGCGAAATGGTGGAATACGATCCGGACCGAGAGACTGGTGTTTCATGGGTAAAGAGACTGACGAATGTTCCCAGTGACAATGCTGGGCGGTGCCACATAAGTATGGGCTGATGGAACAAAGTTGATAAAATCTAGCTGAATTGGGGGCAGAATGCTAAGCAGAAATTTCGGCCGTTTCGTGTGACCCGGGAATTAGGAATGAGAGGGACGGTGGATGGACGGGAATTACGGACAGTGGCTTCTACAAGATTCCAAAAGGATTGACGTTATCGTGAAGAACATCAGTAATATTATCAGTGGTCGTTGGAAGGTCACTCAAAATACAAATTTCAACGGATGAGAAGAAACAAATTGACGGATGCCATTCCGGTCAAAATAAGGGTGGCTCCACAAGACTCACAAGGAGAATTTGGTGGAATGGACGTAAGCGAATGGATGCAATTAATTCGACAGTGATCGCAGGAACCGTTTGGAGCAGAGGACCCGCCAAAGTGTGAATCAAGCGCATGTCGAGGGTGTACTGCGAGTCGCTGTCGGATTTGGAAGTCAACTTATATCGCGGATCACTGGATTGGTGTACGTCGCCAGTGTAGTCCAGTTGGTGTTGTGTTCGTTTGAATCGCCGACACTGCACAGCCCAATGGCGTGGTCCGACTGCAGAATGGCTTCGTGGTTAAAACACAGTAAAGGGGAAATCTGGGGTGCATCACTGCTCTTTGGAGATCGGTATGTACGGCAAAAATGTTTGTTTATTTCTGAGGGGCTGCACTTCAGCCGCTGAAAATCTGGCGTCAAATGAGGTCGATGACAGAAAGGAATGAATGAATGTAAACATGAACTGCACCTGTAAAATGACATTAGTGTTGGAATCGGTAGCCTGAGGAACGGGAGTGAGTGAAGTCACAGTTTCGGAAGTTTGGGTTTCTGTGAACATCCCGTGTTTTGACCATGTCTGAACGGCAGATGAAATAGCCGACAATCAGATGCTTGGAATGGCGAACCATACGATGAATTTATATGTTGGGTAGTGGCGATTCCCCGGTCGGTAATGCTAGCCTTCGTTCACTTCAGTCAATAATGTCACTACTGAATACCCATTTCAAGCTCGTTCTACGCAGAATACAGCACCTCCATCAAGAGATTTCTCCTGAAAAGATCGTGCTTCCGAGAACAGAGCGAAGTGTACCGGTCCTAAACTTGTTTACTTGGAGTGCGACCATTCTGGAAGAATAGGTCGGCTAGAGTTCTACGTCTATTTATTGATCGATTTCAGTGTTCCAGCGTATTCTGACGGGACTGAGAGTTACCGAGAAACATGGACTATTTCACATATCGCAGCCATCAAAACGACAGCGTTTTGTATCTCTATTTGTTTACTTTGTATGTTTTATCCTATTTATAAAGTCAGATATAAGTACCATCTAATTCGATAACAATGCAGTCAATGACTGTGGTTTCCCGTGCAAAGTACTGGCATGCAATAAGTGGTCACTAATGCTTCAGTGAGCTTCACCGTTAGCGACTGAAAATCTTCAAATGAGGTCGATGACAGAAAGGAATGAATGAATGTAAACATGAACTGCACCTGTAAAATGACATTAGTGTTGGAATCGGTAGCCTGAGGAACGGGAGTGAGTGAAGTCACAGTTTCGGAAGTTTGGGTTTCTGTGAACATCCCGTGTTTTGACCATGTCTGAACGGCAGATGAAATAGCCGACAATCAGATGCTTGGAATGGCGAACCATACGATGAATTTATATGTTGGGTAGTGGCGATTCCCCGGTCGGTAACTCTAGCCTTCGTTCACTTCAGTCAATAATGTCACTACTGAATACCCATTTCAAGCTCGTTCTACGCAGAATACAGCACCTCCATCAAGAGATTTCTCCTGAAAAGATCGTGCTTCCGAGAACAGAGCGAAGTGTACCGGTCCTAAACTTGTTTACTTGGAGTGCGACCATTCTGGAAGAATAGGTCGGCTAGAGTTCTACGTCTATTTATTGATCGATTTCAGTGTTCCAGCGTATTCTGACGGGACTGAGAGTTACCGAGAAACATGGACTATTTCACATATCGCAGCCATCAAAACGACAGCGTTTTGTATCTCTATTTGTTTACTTTGTATGTTTTATCCTATTTATAAAGTCAGATATAAGTACCATCTAATTCGATAACAATGCAGTCAATGACTGTGGTTTCCCGTGCAAAGTACTGGCATGCAATAAGTGGTCACTAATGCTTCAGTGAGCTTCACCGTTAGCGATTTTTTATAACGTCAAAACAGAAAATATTGGGGATGTATCTTCAAAACGGGCTATTCCGAGGCTATATATTGTAATCGACAATAACGGAGATTAAAAAGTCGCCGATCTGGTCGCAGCAAAAGTTATGAACACTAAAACAATCACGTCCGAAGCTCTGGTCGAAAGAGAACGTCTTCGTAACTGTTAGCTGAATTCCAAGGAAAATTCACGACTTCTCCCCGGTTCGTCTTTCCACACTGTTGGTCGAGTCTTGCATTCATCTATCTAGTCTTGTTATGTGCAAGTTACATACCCTACTGTGATCAACTGCGATAAAGTTCCATCACCGTTTTTATCAAATAGTACTGTGTAAACCAATTCAATGGACTGTCCTAGGTACCTTGTATCGGATATTCATAAACATTATACCTTGGTTGGCAGAGCGGCTGTTCTCTGTTCTGCTACCTTCGAAGGCTATCGACCCAGCGGGCTGCCAACATTGTGATAATCAGGCCCTAGTTGTTGGAACATGTCGCTACGCCTTCGCTGAGTTGCGAAAGAAGGCCTCAACAGTTTTAGGGATATCAATTGGTGATCGCTTTTGATTACTCATTTTGATTCGGCTGGCTGGTCGAGCTGTAGACCCGCACTCGCCATGAATACAATAGAATTGTGCTGTCTGCTATTTCAAACAGTACTGCTTCTTCAATTTAATGCTTGGGACTGATTTGCAAGCAACCCCAACGTACCTGATTGCCAGTGATAAATGATGAGTTTACAAGATTAGGTTTCTGGAACCTCGAGGATACCGGGGGTGTTCCTATAACAGACATGTTTCGCAGGGGACCATTAACGCCGGGGAATGAGTTGGCTCCAGTTATCTCACGGACTGCAGCGGCCCACGATGATTGGAAGCGTGGTCTGCACATGGAGTAATCCGCTTTTGGTTCCCCATGGCGAGTATCCTTGTCCGACCATAGGTCCACACTTGATTCGACCGACCATCCAGATGACAACTTTGTTCAGGATGGGATGATCGTTGATCGAACCACTGTGGCCTTTTTTATTTTGAGGATGTGGCCAAGGCGCCAGAAACCGAGTGTTCAGAGTCCCTGACCCTATCAGGGTTCGCATGCAAAGTTTAACACTGGATGGATAGCAACTAGGAGAGCGAGATTTTCTGTGTGTACTCTTATCTTACCCCTAGTCTGCAACATCCTCCTGCTTTATCGATTAACTTAGTGACAAGAGCCACCTTGTAGTCACACGAACATAGGTCACAGCGCAGAATCCAGAGAAGTCAAGATCAGAGCTCACTCGAGCGCTGACCAATGGACGAGAGATAGGAGAGCTGGATTCAAAGGTGGTCATCGGGACATATACAGGCCATTAGAACTTAATAGACCGAAGGATCAATCATAATCGAAGATCGGATCGGCATAGCTCACTATCCAACACATAATCACTGACTCCTCGGTACACTCAGATGTATGGTAAAATTCTTATTAAAAAAATTCGCTCATTTTCTGGATTTTAGGCTTTTGGCCATTTCGGAGTGCTGCCATCTGTCTTCGATTCGCCGATTGCAGTGATATACGACACTTTAAGTGGTTTGCCACCAGAACATACGATTAAATATGATTTAGCTTCTCGTAATAGGTCCGATTTTTTTAAGCACGACGCGCCTGACAACGGTTTGGACATTTTAGTATCATTATATTCGTGCATAGGGTTTGTGGCGTCAATGTATTTGGGTTTCACATGGGTTTGTGGACCTGTTCTCGGTGTCTCTTGGTTATAACTGCTCTTCAAACCAGTTGGATTTATTTAAACTGGAGTGTTTTGAAATAGAAACGACGTCACGAGACTCATGGTCTCAGGTTTTGTGTTTTGGGGTATCAGTTACTGTAAACTTTCCAGCACCATTCACTCTGACGTCATCAATTGGTGCTGGGTGTAATATTACACTTGATGACGACGTGATGTCTTCATAGACGGCACTTCGACAATCGTCGGGGTTAGTGATGACAAAAGCGGCATTGTGTGCTGTTCATCTCTCCTATAATTATTTTCTACTGAAAGGGCAACTCAAAGTATGCTTTTCCGTGAACTGAGCGCTTGCTTTGCCAGGCATGGGTGCCAGACATGATGTGATACCAGTCGCTGGCAGAAGAGTGAGTTACTTGAACGGGGCAACTCAGTGGATCACAGTTCTCAGACCAACAAGAGCTGACCTCTGTCTCACGTCAACATCGTTTTCCGGATCAACGAGCGTCCAAATTTGCACACTCCTGTGACCCGTTTGCTCGCCTCTGCGAGATGAGCATACTGAAGTATCAAGCAGAACGTCAACTAGCCGAGGTTTTCATGCGAGGTAACAAGAATATATGATGAAAAAACTTGCTCTATGGAGCGGCATCATAGGATGCTCCCTGTGATGCGGCTTATTTGGTGCTATTTCTGGTTGTCGAATGGTTGCATCGAAAACACCTCCTTTGATGTTTAACTATCGAAATTCCAACTTTGTCAGATGACATTGACAGTCTAATGCCAATGGACTGTCGGGCCATCGCCCTCAATGCATAATAACCCCTTTTCTGTTTTGTTCCTCTCACTGAACGGAACTGTGGCTCCCGGGACGAACTCCAACGTCATCGAAGTCTTTTAGCCTAGTAACTGTACTGGATTGAGTCGAACTGTTAATTCGACGAGGTTTGGTTAGTCTACCGGGCTTTGACGTTAGACGAGGGTTATACCGAGTATTGTAGACGGAGTTCAGTATGTCTTTTACATACGCTATACTGACGAGTGTAAAACTATTTGGGAGGGATAAACTTCGAACAAAACGTAAATCCACATTTAAACTGTTTTAGAAACACACGAAATCGTTTTTTGCCGTTAATCTGATCATTTCAAAGGCCACTGTTCCGCTGGGATGAGATGCCAAAAGGCCATGTGTGACGAATCCAAATGGAACCCTAGGTCTGATTTAGGTCCCATTGTGGTCGGATCCCGAAAAACCCAGGCAATCGAGCGAATATACACTCATTTGCAAACTAATTTGGTTTTTCGAGAGACTCACCTGGAACCCAGCTTAATCTCCCGTTTGTGATGTTTTCAGGCAACCGAATGTGCTGCACCAGGCCGCCTCATGTTTCAGTCGCTACGACATTCGAGATATCGCGATACATTACTATCTTTGTAAGGTTGCTGACGACGGGCTGTCGACGGATTTCCAGTCAGTCGAGCTTTTACTGATCATATCGGTCAGGTGTGAAAAGGGTTGGATACTTGACCTTTTGACTGTCTACCTTAGCATTGTTCTTACCATCTATCCACCGGCGAATGGCCATGTTATCTATTCTCATGGGGATACGAAGCTCCACCACCGCAAACATCCGGTCACTTGACTCTTCATCAGTTATCAGGTTGTCTGAGTCAACAGCTGGCCCGAACAAAACACGCTTCGTAGATTAGTGGAATGCACTCATTTGCATACCAATTTGGTTTTGACGGGAAACTCACCTGGAACCCAGCTGAATCTCTCGTTTATGATGTTTTCTTTGGAGGTGTTTTTATTTCCTCCTTCAGTGACATTCAACGTCCTTTTTTTCAGGAGGCAGTAATCAGCTCAGGGTGGGACGGTTTCATTGATGCAGCTTTAAAGATGCGACAAATCATGAGGTTTTTTATATTTGTTTTAGTGATCCCTTCATGTCACTCATTTTAAACGAGCAAGCGATAGATGAGTTGATGATAGTCCGCAGTTTGAGTATCTAGGACTGAGCGACCATGTAGCTTTCTGGCGGTCGCACTAACGGATCTCTTGCATGATTTCTCTCTGTTCTTCACACTACCTCCTTGACTGTATGCAGTGTTGCGACTTCTCACTGCTACTCCGTCAGCGATATCCCTAAACCTTTGATTAACTACGAGGGCTTTCTCAACAGGGCGAAGTTAGTATTTCGTCTCTTCCCTGAATTGTCCTCATTGTTCGGTCCTACACTCAGTTGCATGTGATGTGAGTGGCTTATTTCTTGGGAGGGGGATTACTTTATACGGTTTCTTTTTGGGGCATGATATTTTTCTGTGTTTCGTTTCAGATTACCTGAAAGAACCATTGGAAATCTACATGCAACAATTTCCAGCTGTGAAAATTGTTCGGACCAAACGGCGAGAGGGTTTGATTCGAGCGCGAATGGTTGGAACAAACGCTAGCACAGCTGAGGTGCTGACCTACCTGGATTCGCATATTGAGTGCACACCCGGTAGGTTTGTTTACTGAGCTGTCCGCTTGTCTCAACTACCCGAAGTAGGCATTTCATATGTCGGCTTATTTCGTCCTCTCGATACTGCCACAAAAATTCGGCCAGGATAAATGAAACATTTCTCACCTGAGGTTGTGTTTGGCTTCCGACCTGATTGCTCTTCTCCCTAGATAAATGTGTTTTTATTCACCTCCATTAGTGGTGTAATGTGGGGCTAACTCAATAATGTATGGGCATGATATGCTGACCCCAGCTATAGGATGATCTTATATTAACGAGTTTAGTTTCTTCTAGTCCAACTCTACTGTTTTATTCTGTTGGCTGGCGTTCAGCTTATCTGAGGTTCATATTTTGCACGCCTGTCTGACACCTCTGCAAGACCTGGTCAGGTCAAGGGTTGGCCATCTCTGTTTCCGCCATTCTGAAGTGGACACGGAAAACTGCACTCTCTTCCACAAACGATGGTTCAGCATACGCAGTACATGGCCTAACCAACGCAGCTTCTGGTGGTGGGTACACTTTTCACTGGAGGTATTCGTTTCAAAACCGAAAATTCGCCTTTTAATTGCCTCGTTACGGATTAGCCCAAACCAGACCACATGAGCTGTGGTCCTGATACAACGATTGTCGAACAGCTGAAGGCATCTCAGTTCCACTACTAAAACAGGCCAAGTCTCGCAGCAATAAAACAAAACCTCCACTACTAAAACAGGCCAAGTCTCGCAGCCATGAAATAAAATCAGCCCGTACTCTAGCTCGATACATATGTCCCCTGAGGTTCTGAGATATAGCGCCTTGAGGCCATAGGTGTTTCAAATTAGCAAACGCGACCCAAGCCTTGCAGATTTGTGTATTGACGTCATCGGTCACACTCTAATCAGACTTACTGGAAATTCCAATGTACGTGAAACGCTCCACAACTTCGAGTGCCTCTCTTTGGATTGTAAGTGGCGCATTTAGGGACTGTATGTCTATGAGGATGACCTCACAATTTGTGCATGCAAAGCGCAAACCAAAGGACTTTGGTCAGTTCACCCAAAAACAGCTGCGCAAGAACGATGCCACCAGAAATTTCCGGATCGATAAGGTTTGTCTCAGGCTACTGGAACCCAGGGGTTTTGGAGATCTTCCACCGTTCGTCTCATTATCCCATCGACCACGAAATTAAGTAGAAATCGAAAGAGTGGGCACCCCGGACGGACACTGCATTGTTTTCGCAAGCTGTCGGAGAGCCCTCCGTATACCCTCACACGGCCAGAGGTCTCAGAATACAAAGAACCTATCATCTTCACAAACTTCCGTCACATTCCTTGATAGGCGGGCGTATCAAGGAAAACAGACCGGTCAATAGAGTCGAACGCGCCTTAGAAATCCTGAAATACTAAAATTGTGGGTCGTTTATACGTATGACGTTTTCCCAGCGCATGACGGATTGTGCAGGTTTGGTCAACGCAATCCCAACCTGGCCGGAATCCTTTGGCTGCTCTCGAGCCACTATTCCACGAGCCACCCAAAAGCAACGAAGTAAAGCGACGCCTGCTGTCTCGTTACGGCCAGAATCAAGCTGATCTCCCAGCAAATACCACACTCATTATGAGCCTCTATTTTGAAAATGGCCACTATCACTGCTCCTTCTCAGTTGTCTAGGACAGTCAGTCTCGTTTTCACAAACGCAGGCAAACAGATCGGATAAACGCTGACTGAGGACTTCACTTCCGTGTTGAACGATTCGGGTGGGAGGTCATCCTGACTAGATTCTCGGTGGCTATTGGGAGGACATATGCAGTCATAAACTTCCGAGGCCATAGGGGGCTCCACGTTCACCGTCCATGGTCCTACCTCAACTCTGGGCTCCGGATGAGTGGTAGCAGGTTGGCACGTTAACTGTTGTTCGGATTATTGTGGATCATTTATCAGTAGTGCACGTAAGAGGCAACACATGTCGAAAATGTGTGGTTGAATTGATATCCGTCATTCTTCCGAAGGTGGACACTTCCGCTGCAAATACTCTTTTTGTTTATCTTTGTAATGTACTACTCATAAGTTTGCTGAAAATCCGTCGACAGCCCACGATTGGTTTCGCCCTTTTAGGGGCTCATCAGGTAGGCGCAGTCCCCGGGTTTCCGTCAACCTTATGTCCTACTTGAAACCAAATTGCACGAAATTAGAGAATGTACACTCATTTGCAAACTAATTTTTTTTTCGAGAGACTCACCATGAACCCAGTTGAATCTCTCGTTTGTGATGTTCTCAGGCAACTGAATGTGCTTTTTTTGTTTGTTTGTTCGCCATTCCTCACTATATTTGCACATCTTTACGAACTGGTGTATCACTGTCCATACTGCGGACAGCCTGTGAATTAATGTTATCTATCTCTTAGTAGTGAAGTGTTCTATATCTCGTTCCGTGGTTTCTCCTTGTTACCAGCAATTCCAAATTCTCCCCATTTTTTCAGGCTGGCTTGAGCCGTTACTAGAGAGAATAAAGGCGAGCAAGTCCAACGTGGTCGTACCCGTAATCGAGATTATCAATGACCAAGACCTAAGTATCAAAGCCACTCAGGAAGCCAGCGTGCAAGTTGGTGGTTTCGACTGGTCGCTAACTTTCACTTGGCACCTACCTCCCAAACGGGACCAGATACGACCAGGCGCACCCTACTCACCAATCAGGTGTGCATTGCATTACATTTTGAGTGTATTTTGTTTGGATTTTGAGCAGACCCCATACCACCTTATCCCTGATTTGTCGGAGATCCTCATTTCCTACCATATAGGTACTGACTGGCGTTTTTATGACCGTGGAGTGTATTTTGTTTGGATTTTGAGCAGACCTTATATCACCTTATCCCTGATTTGTCGAAGATCCTCATTTCCCACCATATAGATACTGACTGGCGTTTTTATGACCGTGATGTTACCTGACGAGACATGTCTGCACTTTATTCGACCGTAAGGATCCTCTTACAACAATGGACGGTCAGAAACGGCCGCGCTAGGTTGTATGGCCCTTCAGAGTGTGTCATGGCTCACCACCCGTTGGTAAATTGCAGTGTATTTTGTTGCACAATCTTCACGTTCATTCTTCAAGTTTAGCGGAAGGATACCGTAGTTCGTAAGTTTAGCGTAACCTTCCTCGATCCTTGACCACCGGAATGCTCGGAATTCATAACTGGATTTTGGCCGCACTTTCAGCATCTTTAGCCATTGGAGGCTTTTACTTTGATTGTATACAGTGACCAGCCGCACAACTTCTACAACGAACTGGTGTGCACGGAAACGTGTAACCTTGGTCAAAGTTGCAAACGAATGTTTATGAAACGACAAGCTAGCTTGGATTAACTGCCCCGTTTGAAGTGGACTGGTATTTAATCTACCTGATAGCACTTTTTGACGTGTCCTTTTTATCTTAGGATGTCTCCTGTGTACCTGTCGTGCCACGATTTTGTTAATGTTCACCTATGTCGAAGACCATTGCGGTCTCATTGCTTATTGACACAGCGTTACAGAAGTTCAAACGCAAAGCACGGAGTTTTGAAGGGGTTTCGTTCGTACCTTTTGGAGAAAATTTCATATTCAACAAGACGCACAAACCCGCCTACATTGTGATACTGCCAACTGCAACCTTTTCGTCAAACTTCTCAGAGATTCGATATAACAACTTTCCCACCATTTTTAAACCTGTGCGTTCATCTTAAGGCCAAATCTGTCATCCTGGTCTGGTAAAGATAATCAGGCAGTCTTCGACCCGCTTCAAACACTAGCAGTCTAAGTAGCATGTGATCTCAACCATACGTATAATCACCGCGGAGTCCTTTCAACGGACAGTACTGACTAATTCTATCCCTACCAATACGGCAAATCGTTCTCACAATCCCGTATTCGGGGGCTTCTCTCAGTTTGCCACGTTAGGCTGACTCGTCAGTTCAGCAGTAAAAAACAGGCATTAGTTCGCATACGTGAACTCTAGTGTGCCCTTCTTCCCCTTGTAGTTTCAGCTGTCAGCGTGAACCATCGAATTTAATAGCGTCCCGGCTGTTTTAACTATACATGGTCCGTATATGCTTGCCAGCCATGTCTCGAATACGAGTGAATCAAGTAATGTTTGATTAGGCTCACTGGGTTCCCTCTGTTCTGTCAACAAGGTTGAATAGTAGCCACTTTCCACGTGGTCACATTTGCGAAATTTGAAGTGTTTACCGGATCGTTTCAAAGTCGTTTCTAGTCCCATCAGAAGCCTTCAATTTAGAACGGTTCTCATCAGAATAGGTCAAGAGTATGGATGCCAGTTGTTAGTCGGACGTGTCTTAGTTGAAATCCACTCCAGATTTCCCAGTTGATTCTGTTCACATCTTGGCGTTTACTCAGCTCTCGTGCCTCCTTTAGGTAGCATTGAGAATGCACATGGAATGTTACCTTCCGTAACTGAACTGTTTCGTCTTTGTCCCAGTAGTTTTGTTGGTTTATCGTCTGTTCAGTTCTCGTTATCAAATCGCCTCTGGTTTTTAGGTCACCAACCATGGCTGGTGGTCTGTTTGCCATTCATCGTGATTTCTTTGCCTATCTTGGCTATTACGATGAAGAAATGGAAGTCTGGGGAGGGGAGAACTTGGAATTATCTTTCAAGGTAAGGGGATATTCACACACCTTTAATGTAAGCCGTGAATGCTTATCAGCTAATTTTTCCCACATTTGGCCTCTTTCTACCTAACTTAGATTCGCTCATTGCAGACTAACCGTTTGGGCTTTCTCTTCGGTAGGTGCTAAGCTAGACCTCCAGAAGACATTTCCCGTCTATGATCTACACTGTACATTAGCAAAAAGCATACAAGTCATTTACTGTTTGTATGCAAATCAAAGCGGTTACACATTCTTACGAGCTTCGGAGACGTATCTTTTATGTGGTAATTTCATTGTGAGTTTTCTTTGAAAAAGTCACCCTGAACTACAAGCCTCACAGCATACCAAAGCAATCTACTGTATGTTTCAGTCGATCGTTTTATTTCAGGCTATTATACGCTTTCCCTTGGTTCTGCTTAGGCGTTAATCGTCACTTAAGTTCTTGTTGCGGCTTGATACCAACCGGACACGGTACGAATCAAATCCACACCAAAACCACCGACCGTCTTATGACGATATTCTCACAGCTTAGTTCCCAGTCTGAATCTTCTATTGGGCCGCCAGGCGGCCCGAATTGGACTTGGTAGTTACAGACAATGGTTAACGATTGCTTCAGTTGTGTGCTGATCGCGGACTGTTTTCATGCAGTACTAACTTCGGAAATAGGTGAAGCCGTTTCTAACGACGTGCTGGTTACGAACTCAAATAGATCCCGTTGCCATTGGTTACCGATGGTGCGGATCAACAACTGACTATCGCTCGTTTCGGAACAAATTTGTGGATTCTTTCCACGCGTTCGTCCGGAATCGCGCACTGACCGTGAAGCCTGGTGGACATGGGAAGTTAAGAAACGGAAGACGCCCAGAAATCCGGGGTCCGTGCGACCGGACCCTGGAAGCCACACGCGAGCTAAAGCATTGAGGATCAGAATGGATCGAACACCTTCAATACAGAACGCCTTTACCATTGGGCCGAATACTTCGAACAACAGTTGTCGTGGCCATCTGCTGCCAATCATCTGGAGTCTACATATGTTCTCTCAATAGCCACCGAGCTTCTAGTCCGGGGGCGAGATGGCTCAAGTGGTTAGAGCGCGAATTTACTGACCGGAAGGTCCGTGGTTCGAACCCGACCTCTGCCTCTCAACTTCCCCTGTCTAGGCTTGGGCAACCGGACAGTATCCCAGCCCTCGTGCTTCCTTCGGGCGGCATGGCAGCTAGGCACCGAAAGGGCGCTACAGCTGAACGATTTATTTATTTATATTTTTTCCAGTCCGGCTGACCTCCCACCCGAATTGTTCAAAGATGGAAGTGAAGTCCCCAGTCAGCGTTTGTCTGAACTGTTTGCCTGCGCCTGAGAAAACGAGAATGACTGTCCTAGACAACCGAAAAGGGTCGATGATAATGTTCATTTTCAAAAAAGAAGTTCATAATGAGTGTGGTAACCGCAGGGTCGTAACGAGACTACTGGCGTCGCTTGTGCTCCGTTGCCTTTGGGTGGCTCGTGACTCGATGGCAGCAAAAGGATACCGGCGAGGTTGGGATTGCGTTGACCAAATATTAACACTCCATCATGTGTCAGGAAAACGTCATGCGTGCAAACGATCCACAATTTTAGTATTCCTGGGTTTGCAAGGCGCATCTGACTCGGTTGGCCGATCTGCTTCCTTTCCCGGAATTTTGTGAAGATGGTAACTTCTTTGTATTCTTAGACCTCTGGCCTTGTGAGTGTATGCGAAGGGCTCTCTGATAGTTTCCGAACACAACGCAGGGTCCGTCCGTGGTGCCCGTTCTCTCGATTTCTATTTGCTTTCGTGATCGATGAGATAGTGAGTCGAACGGTGGAAGGTCTCGAAAACACCGGTGTTCCAATAGCCCGAGAGAAAAACCTTGTCGATCTGGAAAACGCAGATGACGTGGTTCTCGTTTTCGAAGAGGAGGAGATCGTTCAGGTGTGTTTGCTATGAGCTCTGCTCCAGAAAGTGGAAGCTCACGCTCCTGGATATGCAGTTACTGAACACGCACCTATACCCAATAGGACATTATGCTCTGCGTTCATTCCCTTAAGTCAGCCGTGGGTTTTATCTACTAAGATAATTTCAACCTGTGCTAAAATACCACGCAGCACTGTACATTTCATGTTAAGTTAACAATAATGTGAATCTTATTACTGTTGGGGGAGGTTTGAGCCCACGATCATATTGCACTGTCATCTGCCTACATGTGACTGGCCATTAGTGTAGGTGTACTGCCACTTATCTCTCACCCACACAAATCAAGTAATCTACTCGCCTGTTTTATTGGTGTTTTCTGCCGGTTTCAGGAATACGGAGTGCTGTAGCCGCCTTTGTCCGACAAGAGAGAATGGAGTTTAGAGTGATCGATGTCTGACTCGAAGGCAGACAACTTCTTCAGTTATCCACCGAAGTGACAGGGCAAAACGCGACACTATTCTGCGTTTTGAACTTTCTCCATAGAATTATTAAGCGACGTGCGGAGCACGCATTAGGACCAGTGCAAGTGACTTTGTTGTGTGTACAGCCAGTTTTGACATGCCGTGACAGTGTTGCCGGACTGATTTATCGAAGACTCGATAAATCCATCTTGTTTAGGTATGATCCATATGAACAAATATCTGTTGTTTTTGTATATATGGGCCAGGTCTCGCGTCTAGGAATGGATGGAGGCTTGTTAGACCATGAATTTTACCCTGAGTCCAACTTCCATTTCACGTCGTATTCAGTCGTAATAGAGATGCTATTCCGGTATCTCAGTGCCTATCTCCACATCATCTCTCATTCGGTAGGATACGGGGGCTGAGATGTTAGGGTATAAGTTAGAATCGAAATTTCCAAGAGTTAGAGGGAATTCGGTGTTTGTGGAGCATATGCAGGAAGGTTTTGCCTCAACAGGTTTGATTAAAGACCACTGCCTATTACCCAGTTTTTGATTGGTACTGGTGCAGGGCTTTACATAACCTGTTGTCGGCTAACAACCATGTTTCCTTGAAATTTAGCAGAAACCCTAAGGACTATGCGGATTAGTTAGTGAGAGTCGGGCTTCAATACAGCATTAGACGGATTTTCCTGGGATCCATCTTTCTCCCTGTTTCCTCATCAATCTCATAATAAGTTCAAGCTTGACGTCATCCTAAGAATATTTTATCAGAAACATGTGTTGTGGCATTCCTTGTTGTTTGGTTTTTGGGTCTCACTGCTCAGCAGTTTCGGTTGTGCCGTGATGTCATTCTGAGAGTGTTTAACTCCATTCCAGTCACTGCAGGGTGGCTGGGTGTAATGCCCCTGCTAACTTTGGAGCGTCGTATCCCAAACAGACGTCTCCGTTTGCACTCTACTAGCTACGTTATCGATCGATCTGTGTGATTTATTCTGCAGCCTGTTATTGACATATGTTTCACAACCCGTATACTTTTCTTATTTTAGTATACGATGTATGTGAATCATAAAGCCAGTTTCCTACCGCTTAATGTAGACTGATGGATAGCAGTAGCTCGCGTTTACACTACGTCAACTTGATGGAGATCGCCTAGTCACGTGTCGCTTTTGGTTTTGGTTGTACAGATTGGAAACCGAGAAATATCGGCAATTGACTCACAAAACGTCTTTAATAATGTTGTAATCTTCCAGATTGAGTTTTACTTATAATAATATCTCCTGCGTCTGTGAAATTGGGCGAGATTGTTCGAGTGAGATTGTCATGGGTTCGATTTCTGTGTTGTTGCGTCATTAGCGACATTTCGGTTAACAACTTCGTGACAAAATTATCGAACCACGTTTAATTTTCCTCAAATTCTTCTCCTGTTAGATGCTATTGGATGGCCCTTGATTAAGCGAAATGAACTTTGGAGATTACGAGAGTATTCTCTCGATCGCTGCTCTAAGAAATAGCGAAATCATCTTTATCATCATCGGTAATATAGTACCAGTGTCCAACACTCATACTTCGTTGCTTTGAACGGTGATTTATTTGAAAGCCTCATTGTGAAGAACAGAGTAAGAGTGGACGGGGAAGAAACTTAATGCTAACCTACCACTTTCATCCCGAGGTGCCTACACCTCCAGACATTCATTTAGGTGATCTGAATAGAAACTGACAACAATGCCGCTGACATCTATTAGCAACCATATCACGCAGCGTTCCCAACCAGGCGGAGTGTTGGTCACGCGTTCCTCATCCCGCAAGGCGCGTATCACCGGCAGCATTGAAACTTTTTAATCTCTTTCATACCCATCTGTAAGGATAAACGTTGGCACCCTCTACTTCTAACACTCTGAGTTGGACACAGAAAACTGCATTCTCTTCCACAAACGATGGTTCGGCATACGCACTATATGGCCGAACCAACGCAGTTTCTGGTGGTGGATACATTCTTTACTGGAGGTCCTCGTTACAAAATCGAAAACTCGCCTTCTTATTGCCTTGTTACGGATTAGCCCAAACCAACCCACATGAGCTGTGGTCCTGATACAACGATTGTCGAACAGCTGAAGGCATCTCAGTTCCACTACTAAAACAGGCCAAGTCTCGCAGCAATAAAACAAAACCAGCCCGTACTCTAGCTCGATACATATGTCCCCTGAGGTTCTGAGATACAGCGCTGTTTCAAATTAGCAAAGGCGATCCAAGCCTTGCGGATTTGTGCATTGGCGTCATCGGTCACACTACAATCGCAACTAAGACAGAGTGATGAACAAATGTGACGAAATTGTGGAACTCACATCCGGCTTGTTTTGCTCGGGACACTCGTAGACCACCTCACTATGCCTTCAGTTAGAGCGTGACAAAATTTCTGTTTTTTTTTGTCTCAACATAGCCATGGTCATAAACTTCCACACGTTTGTGCCAGCATTTGGCCTGTCTAACTGCTTCGTGTGACGGAACAGAAACCAGTCCGAGTTATTCAGATGTCATACCCTCTTGTCTATATGTGGAAACGATTGACAGTGTGAGCCATCCGCCAAGTACGCAAAATTCTTCAGTCCGTCAATCAGTCGGTCAGTTTTACAACTCACATCCCACTGTACCCAATTGCAGTGGTCCCAGTCTCGTTCCAGCTTCGTTTATCGAGGATTACGAGAATAAAAGAATGAACCTGAGAACATCATAAACGAGAGATTCAGCTGGGTTCCAGGTGAGTCTTTCGAAAAAACCAAATTAGTTTGCAAATGAGTGAATATTCGCTAGTTTCGTGCAATTTGGTTTCAAGTAGAGCATAAGGTTGACGGAAACCCGGGGACTGCGCATACCTGACGAGCTCCTAAAAAGGCGAAACCAATCGTGGGCTATCGACGGATTTTCAGCAACCTTATGAGTAGTACATTAAAAAGATGAACCAGCCGTTTGGGGCGATGACCCAATTCGTTGATTGATATCATAGTGATCTGTTTGTCCAGTATGGCAGGAAGTGGGAATAACTTTGAAGGTGATAGCTTTTTGATGCAAGAACCGTGTTAACTGTCAATGTAGGCTTGAGGTATGCATCGGAAAAACGCACAAGGACCGAGAATTCTGGATCGTGGTTAAACAAAGAAGTGCAGACAGCCTTCTACTTAGCGCCTCTTGTACGACAATGGCGACACTGCATGGTCACTACTGACTAGGAGAAATTCCAAATCGGTAGACCAAAAATAGAATTACTGAAGGCGCCACCGAGAGCAACTCAATTTTAATCCAGTAGTACTGTTTGTGAGTGTCATCTTAGCTCCTGAACTGAGCGCATTAGCATTGCTGTGTTTAAATGAAACTATGGTACTTAGCTCAGGCCTAAAATAACTACCGGTTTTCACACGGTGGGTGGGTTATTGAAACAAAAGAGCGAAGCGTTCTGTGCTTACCACATCAACGTTGGACGGCCTTCTCTCCGTCCCTTAATTGTGTTAGATTGACCCTCTCACAGTCTTGATCTCTGTCCGACTGAGAGTTGACAAGTGCGCGAGCATCGTTTAGTCCAGAACTGATCTAATCACTGCCCTGAATCAGAAATTGGGGAGCGTCCATCCAAACGTAATTCATATACGTTGAAGTATGGTGGCGATCTAATCACTGCCCTGAATCAGAAATTGGGGAGCGTCCATCCAAACGTAATTCATATACGTTGAAGGTATGGTGGCGTGATCCATGAACATCGTGAGACGTAAAGCCGAAAGCTTTCATCGTATATGTTTCCGTCGGATTGTCACTTTGACACAGTCTTCTGTATGAACCGATGAGAGATTCTTCGTGTCTCAGTTCGGCTGCAATTTCTTTATTTTTCTCAACTGCGCTAAAATTCGCGTCTCCACCGTTTCACGATAGATTTTCAACGGCGCATCTGCTGACTTTGCAACCTTAAGTGAGCTTAGGTTTCGAGAAATACACTCAAATCGATTTGGTTCAAGTGGAACATAAAGTTGACGGAAACTCGGGGACTGCGCCTACCCGGTGAGTCCAAAGAAGGGCGAAACCGGTCGTGAGCTATCGAAGAGTTTTCAGTAACCTTGTGAGTAGTTTCCTTTATAAGCTTTGGTTTGTCCTGCAAATTCGGGTTCTCATTCCCGTTACCCCTATGTTTTGATAATTTGACCGGCCCTCCTAGTCCAGCAGTTCCTTCCACAGCTCCGGAAACGAATCTGTGCCATGCATACTTAACTGTCTACCGACTGTTCAGTCGGTAGCTCTCGATCGGATCATCCTCCTTTACAACATCCCATTCTATGCTCCAACCGCCCATTTTCGATGGTCTTTTTCAACTTTCATCAATTTGTCTTGGAAAGCACGGCTTCTGACAGGGGATTCCTTCTGTCTGTTTATTCGTCTTACCGGTCTCCAAACATCCAATGTGTTTGTAACTTCTCACCCCATAGAGAACCTGTATATCTTGTGTTCGTTTTGTGGGGTCCGTTTTTCACACACACACACTGACGAAATGTTGTGTGTTGCGCTGCCTAAACTG